CAAAGCAGTAAGAGCAACGTTCAAACAAATGGAAGAACAACACATGCGGGCAACGTTGTGGGGAGAGGGGCTGAAAAGTGGTGCCACCCCTGTGGAAAATACGATGGCACTTCTTTAATAAAGAGTTGGAACTAGAAAGACTATGTGATACAGCAATCCCTGGAGAAGTAACAGCCAGGACATGAACAAGTACACGCACACCCATGTTCGTCCCAACGCTCTTCACAGCAGCAAAATGAGGGACCAGCCTGTCTGTCCATCCCGCCAGCGGGGATCAACGCTGGGGCATGCACAATGAAATTCCACACAACGTCCAAGAGCAGGCTCTGAGATACCTCACAACATGGGTGAAGCCATTAGGCAAGAAATAAGCCCATCGCTAAAGAGCATTGGCAGGACCAAAAGTCAACAAAAGGTTTCCACGCAGAAAGAAACTGGTTACTAGGGGGAGAAGGGAAATCACTATGAGCGGGTGGATTTGTATTCATCTGGGTGCAGGGAAAGGAAGAGAAAAAAGGCACATTCAAAAAATAGCTAATGTAGCTATACGTAATATTGTATAACCTATACATAGAACTAAAACCAAATCAAACTCACTCGTTGATTCTGACTCATAGCGACCCTACAGGGGCGGGGCATGATTTGCCCTGTGGTTTCCAGAGACGGTAAATCTTTACAGCAGTTTTTAAAACGCCTCATCTTTCTCCCGCAGAGTAGCTGTTGGTTTGGAACAGCTGACCGTGCGGTGAACAGCCCACCGCGTAACGACCACGCCACCAGGCTTCCTGTATCCCGAACGGAGGTAGTTCTCGTGGCCAAAATCAGTGCCACCTCATAGCAACTCTGTAAGACAGGGTGGACCTGCCCCGGGGAGTTTCTGAGACTCAGTGTCAACTTACAGAGTAGAGTGCCGCCTTTCTCCCCAGGTGCGGCTGGTGGTTTGGAACTGCCGACCTTGGGGATCACAGCCCAACATGTCATCACGATGCCACCAGAGCTCCTTAAAGGAGGAGTCACTACCTCCTATCACAAGTGAGAAAACGGACATAAAACACAGTTGAGGTGAGAAAAAGGTGGACTTTGACTCCACTCCTGAAGCACATGCGGTGCTGTGATTGGTCGCTAGGGGCAAGTTCCTACCCTCAGCCCCACGTAGTAGTGTCTGCTCCACAAACCACAGGCTGGTAGAGTAGAAATGAGTGGTCTCCCCAACAGAATAGGGGCGCTATTGCCAGAGGGGGAATAGAGGAGAGGCCCAGAGGACCCAGAGATGCCCTGTCGGTGCGCCTGGTCGGCCTTCACTACTCTAAGAACCCAGTTGTCCCTCGTTGCCCCCCTCAAGCGGGGCGTGACCTGGTCTGCTTCACAGCAAAGTCAGATGCCAGTGGTTAAAAAAGGAAGACTCAGTTCTCACCAAAACCCACTCTCTGCCCTCACGGGGTTGGGCTGGGGTCTACCACTGGCCCGCGTCCACTTCAAGCCATCGAGGCCCCCGCCTCCTCCACAAGCTGGTCTCTAACATCTTCGACAAACCAAGCCTGCCCCTTCAGACCCTCACCTGAATCTTGCTTCTCTCCAAATGTCACTTCCGCTCACCTCTGAGTGGATCACCTCCCACTCCCACTCCCTCCACCTCCACCTCGTCAACCACCTGTGACCCACTGAAGCAGCTCTTGTGCCGCTCCCCTAAAACCAAAGGACAACCCACAAGGCACCACCTTCCTTGTCCTGGCCAGTGACAGCTGACCGCTCCTGCCTTGCAAACACATTGGTGTGCCAGGAGCTGCGAGCTCCCGGAGAGGTCGTGGTTGCCCCAGGTACTTCCCTCAAGAGATCCACATACCTGGCCCCAGGCCCTTATGCCCCATGCTGCCTCCACAAAGCCCCTTTCGGCAGCCACAGGTGTGATGGTTGACTGTAGCCATGTGAGTCGTCACCTGGCTTGGTCAGGCGTAAGTTGTTACCTTCCAGAATGTAATGAAATGCAAGCAGCTGAAAAGGAGTGTCCCACAGCGTGCTCCATCTCTGCTCTGCCCTGTTGCCCGGCTGGGGACTCACACCTGCACAAGTCCCCAGCCTACTGTCTGACCTACAGATTCTGGATTTGAATTGGGTCCACCACCACCACCCCGCGCCCCAGAGAGCCTGTGAACCGAGTCTTGGAAGCCCTGGGAGGGCAGTGGGTAGACTTGATGCTAAGGTGCTCTGAAGCCCACTAGCTGCTCCTCTGGAGAAAGATGAAGCTTCTGTAGATTCCAGCCTTAGAGAAAGAAGCCCAGGGGCAGTTCAACACTGCTCTACTGGGTCGTCACGGGTCAGAATCGATTCAGTGGCAACAGGCCTGTTTGGGCGTGTGTCTATGTATGGGTGTATAGATCATGTATGTGTACATATACATGAGTATATATGCACACACACACAGAGAGACCTGGGGGCAGACAGTTACCTGCTAACTAAAATATGATTTGCTTCTCTAAAGACCATAGCCAAGAAAACTCTAGGGGTCTGTTCTGCGCTGTCTCATGGGATCGGTTTAGCACCACCACCATCACCCAGGCATAGGCACGTCCTGTTTCTTTAGGGAACCCACAGACGGACAGACAACACACACACACACACAGATACTGCCACGGAGTAGATTCCCATCCTACACCGGACCTCGGAGACTGAATATCACAGGTTCTCAAGCTGATCTGGTCCACCAGCCCTTAGCAGACAAAGTATGGCCAGCCCTCAACCCGGGATCAAGTGTAGGCAGAGTCTGCTTTAGCAGCCCACCGGGGAGGCATCAGTCACTTTCTTGGAAACACTGCTCTAATCTTTACCGGAGCCCTTTCAGCAGACAGCCTTGGTGGCTGGGAGGTTTGAATCTCCAGCCTCGGTTGGCAGGCCGACCCTTAGCCTACATCACCACTAAACCAGCTGTCATGTAGGCAGTTCCACGGGCAGCAACAATGTAAGGGGGAGGAAAACCTGCTGTGAATCTCTGATCGCAGTAGAAGCCTCACTGCTCTCTCTCGGAGCAACTGGTGGGTCTGAACTGCTGACTGTGGGGTTAGCAGCCCGACAGAGAGCCCATTCTACTGCCGGCGTTGCTTTCTAAGACACACAGGTCCCCTAAACTCATCAGAGCCACACGTATCCAGAGGCCGAACCCTGCTCTTCCACCTGTGGCCCCAGCTGGGAAGGGAACCCCCCACCCTCGCTACCAAAATTGATGAAAGGAACGTCAGGGGAGGGGACTGCCCTTGATGGTTCTCTCCGTGGAGATCTCCACCCGCTTCCAGGCCGCCACCTGTTGGGAGCTGCTCTGAAAGCAGAGGTCTGTTTGTTCAAATGTGGACGTGCAGACACAGCTCTCTCATGTTCAGATTGTCTCTCTCGTGGTCAAATTGTCTCTCTCACGTTCAGATTGTCTCTCACGGTCAGATTGTTTCTCTCACGGTCAGATTGTCTCTCTCATGGTCAGATTGACTTTTGTGCTTTAATGTTATTGAAAACATCGGGTGCTTAGCCTTGGGAAAAATATTTGCCAGACAAACAAGAACAAGGATGGGGCGCTATTTCGAGCAATAGTACATTCCCGCTTCACAGTGTATAAAAGCTTGCTGGAAAATAAACTCGGGGCTGCAGGCTTGAATTGCAGGCCTCCTGACCCCAGCTTTTTTGTGTCTGTCTTTTCTCAGTCCTCACCCCCTCAATCGAGTCCCCGTTGCTCTGCCGGCAGTGGGCTCCGGCAGACACTCTCTCACTGCTTCTTGCAGGTTCCCTGCCTGGACCCCTCCTAGTCATTGGTTTGCTGGCATTACAGGCAGACCTCGACTCCCGCCCAGCAGATGCCTCTTCAGAATTAGAAGCAAAATGCTGCCCAAACCCCCACCTCCCAGGCCCCGCGGCCTCCCCAGCCTCCTTAAACAGTCTCATCCGCCCCATCTGAAGGGCCACCACCCTAGCTCCAGGCCTGTCCACGGACGGACAACAGACTCAAAGGCCAGCATGAAGGCTGGCCCCCAAGCTCTCCCGATGCCCCAGACTGGCTACACGCCCTCCCGCACAGACCCCCTCAGCACACCTGTATCAGCTCTCACAGCTGCCCAGGGTGGGCAGAGTGGTCACCCAGAGATGAGGTGGCTCCGAGGGGGGTAGGGGGTGCCCAGGGGGTGCCCAGGGGCACCCCAGCACACCGAGATGGGACACCCCAGCATAAGCCGCCCTGTAGGCTCAGGGCCCAGGCTGCTCTGTCCACTTGGCTTCCAGCAGTAGCAGCAGCCTGCTGGCCTCTCCCTGTACCCGTGTCCTGGGCGGCTCAGCGGGGGAGGCGGCCGGCAGGGTGGGGAAGTGGTCACAGAGACACCCCACCCTACCCCCCAAGAGACTGGGACCGACACCGCCATTCTATTTTAATCACGTTTTTAATAAATTTAAGAACCAACCGTTTGACCTTCACTCCCCCCTCCCCCCACCCCCCAGAGCAACTAAAAGCAACTAAAAGGGGGCACAGCCTGGGGGGCAGGGGGTGCTAGGAGTCATAGTCCTCTTCGTCCTCCGCGTCAGGTGCTGAGGGGCCTGGGGGCGCCGGGGGCAGAGGCATCGTGGAGGAGGTGAAGGGTATGAAGGGCGTTGGGGGGCTGTGGGGTGGAAAGCCGCAGAGGATGATGGGGCCACCCTACCTCAGGAGCCCCACCCCACCCTCCACAGAGGCAGGCAGGCACCCACTGACTTTGGCCACACACCAGAGCAGGGCAGGGCCCAAAGCCAGTCACAGAGCCCTGCCCAAGCGCCATCTGTCCCCTGTCCCCACCTCCCATGCCAAAACCAGACACAGCCCATAGAACAAACAGGCAAGCCAGGCACAGGGCAGGCTTGGGGAGAGTGCTGGGCTGCTTACCTCTGAAAGGGGGCAGGGGGGTGGTTGGCCTGGGGTGGGGGCTGCAGGGTCTCCTCCTCCCCCTCGGTGTCTGTGTCCTCTGACTCATCCTGTGAGGGAAGCTGGGGTCACGGTGACAAGTCCACTGGGGACTCCAGACCTCTGGGAGTGCTGGGGCAAGAGGGAGGGGTCCCCTAGGTGCCACCTTCTCCTCACCTCCTGTTCTGAGTCTGTCCCCGACAGCTTCTTGTCCTTGCCTTTAGTGCCCATGCCACCATTCTTCCTGCTGCTGCCACCTGGCTTCCGCCCCCTTTGAGAAGGTACAGTCCATCTGCCCAGGGGTCACCTCTCCCGGGCTAACCCTCAACCATCCCCTGCCCCGGTGGCCTCCCCGGTCAGGGCACTTGGTCCCCCACCTCCGGGCACCCTTGTCTCCGTCCATGTGGTTGTCTTCCCCATCCCCCTGCATGTCCGGCACGGAAGCTACCAGGTCCTTCAGAAAGTCAAACTGCTGCTCCAGTTCAATGCACTGCTTCCTGGAAAGAGGGAGGGGGCAGGGGCGCGGGCCCAGGGGGAGAGGCTGCCAGGGAGCCTGCACCAGACCTGCCCGCTTCCTGCAGGTTCCTGGTCCTCCCGGCACCCCCAGGCCCTCCCCTCCACGGTCCAGTCCCTCCTGGGGACCCGGTGGTCTGCCTCCCAAAGCCTGGGATCTCCGGGCCCTCCTGCCCCTCCCAGCTCCCCGTGGCCGGCCGCCACTCACAGGTGGGACGTGGTCATGGTCTTGGCGTTGCGGGACTGGGTCACCTGGCAGGCCTTCTTCAGCAGCGACTCCAGGAAGAGCTCCAGCGCCCGCGCTGCAGGGTGTCAAGGAGAAGGCCGCCCCGCCGGCCGGAACCGCCCCCCGGCCCCCCGCGCCCCCCCGCAGCGCGCCCGGCAGGATACAGA